ATATTAATGTGAGCAGCGCCTTGAATTGGAATAAGAGTGTCCTGCTGAGGCTTGGGATGAGTCTAACAAGTGAATCTGTGTTTATACACATCGACTGGACCTCTGGTTACCTTGTCAGCAGAAGGGGGAAGGAAGCAGCAAATCTGTCAGTGGACTGGGAAAGCCCTTGGATAAACACTCTGTGATGGTCTGAGGTTATTGCAGCTTCTCCCTCTGCTCCCAGAGCGCTGTGGTGGGAGACTCCTGGGCAGCACATTGCAGGGACTGGTGGAGACTGGTGGGGACTGGGAGCTCGGTGCAGGAGCCTGGTTTAGATTTAAAGCAATAATTAAAGAAATCATCCTCTAAGGAGCAGGTTGGCAGGCCCAGTGGTTGTGGTGGAGAAATAAATGCCGGATAGAAACAAGGGGGTGGGGGGGGGTGGAGGGGAGAGGGGAGGACAGAGCAGGCAAGAACTTGGATCCCAATGAAAGGCTGTTGGGACAAAAGCTGCTCTGTACCCATTTCTCCCACCACACCCATCACCTGCACATCCCCTTCCCGGTGAGGTGAATCCCACTTCTGGTTACTGGATCCGCCTTCCCTCCTGCTGGAGATGGGACAGGCCTTGGAGCAACCTGGGCCAGGGAAAGGTGTCCCTGCCCGTGGCAGGGGGGTGGGGCTGGATGAGCTCTAAAGTTCCCTCCCAACCCAAACCATCCCAGGATTCCATGACTCTCTGGCCGTGCCGTCCCGGTGCTGCCCTGGGAGGGGGTCCCTGAGTCTCTGACCCACGAGGGTGGGTGCCACAGGGAGCTGAGCATCCCCAGTGGGGGGCTGTGGGGAGGGAAGTGCCAGCTCTCCGGCTCGCTGGGCCGTGAGCGGTGCCAGCTCCCATCACCGGCGGCGGCACATCGGTCTGACACCGGTGAAAACACAACAGAGGGAGGGGGATGGGGGGGTGGTGGAGGGATTGGAAGATCCCTTTAAAGATGAACATTATCCTGACTTCCAGCACTGCAGCAGCCTGGCCAGCACGTGCCAGGATGGTGTGGGCGCGCCGGTGGCTCCGGCAGCGAGGCTGGGCTGTCATCCCATTCCCCGCTTGGCTCTGCTGGGGTTACTCTGCACCCCAGCTCGCATTAATCCCCACCAATCCACCACCCCTCCCTGCCCCTGCATGATCCTGCTCCACCCCCCACCCTCAGCATGAACCTCCACCGACCCCTCGGCAGGGACAGAAACCAGAGCAGGGTTTGACATCGCGGTTTAAAGTCAGCAGTTCTCAAAGGGAAAAACAAAAAAGTCAAAGCAGAATCTTAATGGTATTTTTTGTGTGTGTGTGTGTGTGTTTTCTTTTGTTTTGTTGTTTTTGTTTTTGTTTTTTTTTTGTTAGCAACCCAACTACTGGAGCTTTAAGGTCAGTATTTCGGATTTTTCCTGCTTCTGTTTGAAATGCATGTGCTTGGCCACCCTCGTCTCATCGCTGCGTCCGTGGAGGGGGGTGGGAGCTGGGGGTGTTTTTTTTGCTGAGGATTCCTGTGCCAGAGGAGTTTGTTCCCAGCTCAGCAGTGGTTTAAGCTCATGAGAGGGATTTCTAGTTTTGGGCTGAGTCGTGTGGATACAAACCTGGTGTCTGAGCAGGAGGGATCTGTGGCCTGCCCTCGTTCTGACCGCTCACCCCACAGCCCAGTCCTGCTGCTTTGGAGTTGCTCCATTGCAGCAGAGACCTGAATTCTGGGAAAAGGATGGGAAAAAGCCTGTTTTGGATGGGGTCAGAAGTCCACCTGTGGAGCTCCATCCTGCTGGCTGCTCCCAGGCAGAGGTACAAGGGTTGCTCTGGTTTCCAGCCTCCTCCTCCTCTCCCTCCTCATCCTCCTCGAGCTGTGGAGTTGAGCTTGTCCCTCCCATTGTGGCCCTGCTGAGCTCTGGGACCTGCCACCCTTCCCATCACGCAGTGTCTCCTTCACTCACCTCCACCTGGCTGATGCCCAGCACCTCTTCCCCACTTCAGGCTCCTCACCTCCCTCTCCCAAGCCCCTCATTCCCCAGAAATCCCACCCTGGCAGGCGCCAGATGAGCTGGGGGAGTCTCGGGACGGGAGATGCTGCGCCAGCACTTCGCGGGGCTGATGGAGAGGGAGGAGGGACAAGCTCGTGCTGGGCGGTGAGGGATGTCCAGAGCAGAAAACGAAGTTGTTCGCTCAGCTGGAGGTGTCTGGGAGGGCAAGGGGCACCCCTGTCTCCACCCTCCACAATTCCCACCGGGAGCCTCCTGGCAGCACCTTGCAAACAGTCGGGCCATTGTGTGCGGGGTGCAGTACGCATGTCCCCCCCTCCTCCTCCTCCTCCTCCTCCTCCTCCTC